CACAGGATTCGAACCTGTGACGTAAGGATCAATTAACACCTGACTTTGAATCTCTAGAGCAAACTATTTTAACAACTACGCCACGCGAGTGACACTTAAAGTTTGTGATTTTGATTTGATTCAAATGTAATTAAAAGTCAGACATAGTTTAACGAGCTACTACAAGAAAAAACTAGAGGTACTGTGAGCAATGAGCTCACTAAATAATACCCCCGCCTCCTATATGAATATAATGGCAGTATCTATGTTTTGCTCTGGAAAATTCAAAATATATGTCAGATATGTCAAAAAGTAAAATAGGAGGTGCACAATGGCAATATGTAATAAAAATTCTGTAAAAGTTTCATTACATTTCCTTCATTGGTATGAGAGGAGTTGCGGATAAGAGAAGGGTACCCCAAAGCGTAACAAAGGACGGACGGACGTACAGACGGACGGAATTAACGATTACTATATACCCTCCCGCTTTTCAAGCGGGGGGTATAAAAACCAGTTGTAATCATGAGGAATGATCTTTCTCACAGATCGATCATTGGGATTATTATACCATTGTGTCCGTGCATACGCGTGTATTTATTAATTTTAACTGTTTCAATTATATAATAAAATCAAATGATTCATTTTATAAGGTAATACCGCAATGCAAGTACATACACATTTTTCAAGTTCAGATTTGGTGTTGTACACGTGACCAACTGGATGCTGATAAATTCATGAAATTAAGGATGCAAAATTAATGTCATTTGAAATTGTGAGATTGAATATCAACAAAGTTTAATGCTATTATTTTTTCCTTTTGCCAACGTAAAAAAAAAATGAGTTGCATGTATCTGGTCTGACAAAAATTTTCCAGTCTAACAGATCATTTTACTTGTCAGAGCAAATAAATGTCTGACAGTGATAGTTTCCGCAGTATTTATTTTTTAAAGAAACGTTGTTCTGTCTCTTTATTGCTGAAACAGATTGAAAGAAGTTGGCTTAAACCTTAGCGTTCCTTTGACCTTACATCTTTGTTTACATCTCTATAATTAGACAATCGCGTCATTGTCAAACCAGTTTGACCAGTTGTTGCTCCTTTGATGACCTCGCACTTTTTGTAATAGAGCGTAGTGGAGTCAGCTGAGTATTGCCGAATGAAAAATGACGGAAAACTGGGAGTTTTTTTTCATACGGAAATCAAAATTTACGTGTCATTTCTCAAGAGAGATGACAAAAATATGCTATTCAAGTTAAGTTAAATAAAATTCTATTTCATTTAATTTCCAATCATTTATGAAAATTAGATTAATTCAGAAAAAATGAGATGGACTATTTTTATTGCGGAAGTTTCTTCGAGTTAATATAGACTGGTACGAGTTTTTATTGAATATCAAAGTTGGGTAAATTGGCCGACATAGAAACACCACGACGGCCACTATATAATTCATTGTAAACTTACTTCGCTAGAAACCGCGTGACGACCTAGGGAGTCTGAACATAGTTCAACTCCCAAACACTTGATGTGGCCTTCAACTCGACATTTAGATTTTATCGATGACGTATTGTTAATAAACAATGATAATTTCCATTCCTACCTCGATACGATATACATGTACATGTATCCCGGTGAGCTTGAGATAAAAGATACCACAGAGTCTTACACATTTGTTTCATATTTGGATATTTTACTTGAAAAAAAAAGGTAATGGTAATCTAACAACCAAGTTATATGATAAACGTGATGACTTTAACTTTTTCTATCCTCAACTTACCTTACTAAGTCTTATGCAGCAATATACCTTCATCACCTGCAAACGAAGTGTATATATCTCAGCTGATTTGATAAGCAAGAGCATGCTCTTTGTATGAACAGTTTCTAAAACGAGGAAAATTATTGACATATTAAGCAAGTTGATGACACAAGAATATCATTCCGAAGCCGAAGGCTCAAGTGAGCTTTTCTGATCAAAATTTGTCCGTTGTCTGTCGTCGTTGTAGTCGTTGTTGTCGTCGTTGTCGTAAACTTTTCAAATTTTCATCTTCTTCTCAAGAACCACTGGGCCAATTTCAACCAAACTTGCTACAAAGTATCCTTGGGTAAAGATGATTCAAGTTTCTTCAAATGAAGGGCCACGCCCTTTTCCAAGGGGAGATAATTATGAATTAGAGAAAAATTAATGGCATTTTTAAAAAATCTTCTTCTCAAGAACCACAAGGCCAGGAAAGATGAAACTAATGTGGAATCATCCTAAGGTAGTGTAGATTCAAGTTTGTTCAAATCATGACCCCCGGGGCAAGGGTGGGGCCAAAATGGCCAACCCAATTTTTACATAGGAATATATAGGAAAACTCTTTGAAAATCTTCTTCTCAAGAACGACTGTGCCAGGAAAGATGAAACTAATGTGGAATCATCCCCAGGTAGTGTAGATTCAAGTTTCTTCAAATCCTGAACCCTGGAGCTAGGGTGGAGCCAAAATGACCGACCCAAGTTTTACATAGGAATATGTAAGAAAAATCTTTAAAAATCTACTTCTCAAGAACCACGGGACCAGGAAAGATGAAACTCATGTGGAATCATCCTAAGGTAGTGTAGATTCAAGTTTGTTTAAATTATGACCCCCTGGGCAAGGGTGGGGCCAAAATGGCTGACCCAAGTTTTACATGGGAATATAAAGGAAAACTCTTTATAAATCTTCTTCTCAAGAACCACTGGGCCAGGAAAGATGAGACTCATGTGGAATCATCCTCTGGTAGTGTAGATTCAAATTTGTTCAAATCATGACCCCAAGGGCTAGGGTGGGGCCAAAATGGCCGATCAAAGTTTTACATAGGAATATATAGGAATAATCTTTAAAAATCTTCTCAAGAACTATTGAGACAGGAAAGATGAAACTCAGGTAAAATTATAGTCAGGTAGTGTAGATTTAAATTCGTTCAAATCATGAACCCCGGGACCAGGGTTGGGCCAAAATTGCCGACCCAAGTTTTACATAGGGATATATAGGGAAACCTTTTAAAATCTCCTTTTCAAGTATTCAAAGCCATAAATATTGATATTTATATGGAATCATCCTCAGGTAGTGTAGATTTTAGGCTGTTCAAATCATGAACCCCCAGGGGGTTAAAATTCAAGCCCCCCCCTCAGTAAACTTTTAGTTCTGATCTGATATGTGCTTTTTCCTAGCCGATGTGCTCAGGTGAGCGCTGTGGCCCCTGTGCCTCTTGTTTAAGTGATAGAACACCAATGGTATTGCCACCACGGCGAATATAGTACATCACTAAATTTCTACGACACCCTCTTTTCGCAAGAAAGTCGTTAACTCTTTAAAAGCACTGGGATGCCGTCTGACATTTGAATTTCATTTTATGTGATGCTTTGCAAGTACATGTAAGTTGTAGCACCAATTCCAAATGAATATGACATATTGAGAAGGATCTATGTTCAAAAACTATATAGCTCTGAGAACTTGAATTAGTAATATATTTATGGATAGTCCTTAATATGACACAAAAGATGACCCCTATAGTTTGGTGAAATATTTATTTAAATATGACAGCATGTTGTTCAATAGCAATTAATTGTCGCTACATGTGTTTCTTATTCGTTTTTGCACCTGTCTGGTCAGATTTGGTTTTTGCTACAATTAATAAATTGTCTTAATTGAGAAGTGGATATTGTGAATGATAGGGCATTATTTAGTTTGCTATTGTTTAGGTTATCTCAGCAACTCCCAGGATGGCAAAATAACCTAGAACGGCCTTTCCTTATCAAATGTTATATGGCTTCAAATCAGAACGAACCCTCCTTATCTAATCAAATACAGAGCTATGAAATTCACTACCTTGATCAGAAGAAACTGACATGGCGTTGCGTTTACTGCGTCCCTTAGTCTTAGTAATTTTAATGGCTTGTACTAACGAATGCTTGCTTCTAAATGACCCCTCCGCTATGGAGCAGAGACTGTCTCAAATGGAGGCTTTAGTTCAGGGCCTAACGGAGGAAGTAAAAGGACTTACTCAGGATGTTAGCTCTCTGAAGCAGGAAAACACGTATCTAAAGGCTCAGATATCGACAGGTAAACTCGTAATTAAAGACTCAGATTTCGACGGGTAAACTCGTATCTAAAGGTTCAGATATCGACAGGTAAATAATAAAAATGGATTCGAAATTTATTGAACAATCAATTTTGAAATTAAGGCGTGGATCTAAGGCTGGTAGATGTTTCAGGAGGTAAATAAGTGTCATAACTGGGGTATGTGGCAATTACTATCACCAACGGCAATCATTTGCTAACTTGAATAATTTAACAGCATGTCATGACAATTCTATAAATGAAATTAATTCAATAGTTTCGACATGTCGTACTGTTAAGGCTGAATACTGTATAGGGGATTAATTTTACGGGTTGTAATTTTCACGGTTTTCTCTCATCTGACACGATCGCGGTTTCTTGAATTAGCGGATTTTTTGTTTCTAAAAGTTACCTCCCTTTGTATATAATATTGCATCGTTTTAGCATGAACGACAACTCCTATTGTTATCTTGAAAACCAGTGTACGTCAGTGAGATGTATTTACTATATGAGCTATACTCAAGGGTGGTTTAAATAAAGTGTTCAGTATAGATTTATTCACTCTTAGTAATCATGCTAAACTGGCTGAAACACGGAAAAATTAACTTTAAACCCCCTCCATCAGATTTACTTCCCGATCCGTGGCAGTGCTCTGACAATGAGGAAACTTGCGCATCTTCTTCAGCAAATGAGTTAGTAAATGAAATTCAGCGTTCAGCCGACTCGGTATCGTACTCTGTTCCTGAAAGTCAGAATGGTCAGTGCTCGTCCAAAAAACGAAAAAGAGAAGATTACGGACAGTATTCTCCAGAAACGATGGGGAAAATGGCTCGATATTGTATCGATTCGGGACCAGCAAAAACAGCCCGTTATTTCTCCAAACAGCTAGGGCGTACGGTAAATGAGAGTACAGTTCGTAGCATAAAGAAAGCTTATTTAAAGGCTGTTAAAACGCAGAACTCACAAAACAAAAATACCCCTCCACCGTTACCCCGTTCACCAAGGGCCGCCCATTAAAAGTTGGACTTTACGACAAGATGATACAGGCGTACATACGTCAACTTAGATTAAAAGGCTCAGCTGTAAATTCGTCTGTCGTGATCGGGGCTGCAAGAGGAATTATTTCACACCAAAACAAATCTATTTTGGCTGAAAATGGAGGTCACATTGAACTGACAACAGAATGGGCTAAATCAGTTATGAAACGAACGGGATTATCGAAGCGCCGTGCCACAAAAGGAGTAAAATCTCTTCCAAGTGACTTTGATGACCTTAAAAACTTTTTTATTAAACGCTTCCAGGACGTCGTAAAGGAGGATTCTATTCCGGATGAAATGATCATCAACTGGGATCAAACGGAAGTAAATTTTGTCCCATGCGGAAAATGGACCATGGCCGAAACAGGTAAATTTATTTATTAATATTAAATGATTTATGATTATTTGAAAAATGAATATTGTTTGAAAATAAATGAAGGAAATGTGTATTAAAATAAATTTTTGTTGTAGGATCGAAACAAGTGCTCTTAAAGGGCTTCGACGACAAATGTCAGATGACAGCCCTGCTAGCCATTTTGGAGGAGTGGTGCAGTCCTACCTCCACAATTGATCTAACAAGGTAAAACAGACACATGCCACCCAAGCTTTCCATTTCCGAAGGAATATGACATCTATCACAGCGAAAACCACTGGTCAAACACTTCTACAATGATTCGCTACATTGACCAAATAATTATCCCGTATCTACAGAAAATCCGAGAAGAAAATGACTATCCTTTGGGACAGAAAGGTCTGTGTATATTCGACGTTTTCGCAGCTCTTTGTATTGACGAATTCCTGGATTATCTTGCAAGAAAAAGAATCCGAGTCCTTTTTGTACCTGCTGCTTGTACGGATAAATTACAACCGCTAGATTTGATCCCCAACAACTTATTTAAACAGCATTTACGAAACGAGTTTCAAAAATACTACGCCAAAGAAATTGAAAAATCACTGGAAAAAGTCGGTCTTGAGGATTTAGAAGTGAATCTGAAACTGTCCTACATTAAAGAAAAACATGCACAGTGGATTGTGAATTCCATCAACAACCTAGCCGATCAAAAGGATGTGATCATTCAGTCGTTTAAAAGTGCTGGCTTAGTGGTTTAAGTGAATGAATTTTGTTAGCCTGGTTCAGTGACGAATTAAATTTCAATTGCATTTATTTATTTATTTATAATTTATTATGTAACGTCTGTGACATGTACATATTAAAAAAACAACCTCATTCAATACATGAAACAGAAATAAAAAATTCAAACGAATCTGCAATTATACTGCCGTTATGCGAAAAGCGACCGAGGTCATTTTAGTGGCGCACGGGTAATCTTGATTGACAAAATGTTTTATTGATCAAACAGGTAGTTGGTTAATTGTAACAGGTGTTTTAACAATAAATATGGGTTTTTACCTGGTGATCTGAATGAAAAGAAATTAAAAAGTTATAAACATCAAGTTCCAGTCTTAATTACTAAACGAGTATGTTATTTACATGTTTACATTTGCATATCAGAATCTACCACTAGCTGGACTCATATTGAAAAAAAAAACGTATTTTTAAATAAAGACTTATTAACTGTTTCTTGAATTCACGGATTTATTAACACCGTGAATATAGCGAATATTTACAGCGCGAGTTACCTTCCCCCTATACAGTAATGTAGATCGGTGAAATATTCCAATCTTATTTCAATTTAGCTGGAAAGGCCTATAACATCTGAAAAAAAGTTCAATCTATTTACTTTGAACGCTCGATCAGTGAAAAACAAATCATTGATACTATGCGATCACATTGTATCTAACGGTATTGACGCCCTAGCCCTAACCGAAACACGGCTTGGAAATGACATTGACAGCATTGTGAAACGGAACTCGTACCAACCGGTTATGATATACCTCGCGTCCCCAGAGAGAACCGTTGCGGTGGTGGTGTTGCTATCATATACAATAAAAATCTTCGTACTACTCAATTACAGTTAGACAATTCGTTCAATTGTTTTGAGCACATGGAATGTACGGTATTTACTCAGAACTTGAAAATTCATATATGTATTGTCTAACGTCCACCGTCGCAAAAGCTCTCTGAATTCTTTGACGAATGGTTGCAATATTTGAGTCGTCATGTTGTATCATCTGATGAACTCATTATTACCGGCGATATGAATTTCCATCTTGACAAGGTTACGGATCTAAACTCTAAAATGTTCATAAATTCGCTTCGAGAGCACGGTTTAACACATGTGATGGATCCTACGCACTTGCTCGGACACGTATTTGATGTTTTCATTACCGGAGACGAAAGCACAATTCTAGATTCCACCCCAATCGTTGATAATCAGCTCATATGTGGCTCAAAGTGAATTACTTCTTGTGACCATAAAGGGATTCATGCCACTCTTCTAGCACAAAAACCACAAAAACAACAAGTTGTTCTCTTTTCGCAAATTACGCTAAATTGATCATGATGAATTTTGCCTTGATATTGAATCTCGTCTATCGGATATACGGAGCGATGTTCCAATCGATAACATGGTAGACCTGTACAACGAGCGTATTCGCGAGTTGTTAAATGATCATGCACCGTTGCACGAGAAGACTGCAGTAATTCGGCAGAACGCACACTGGTTTGCAGAAGATCTGCATACACTCAAACGAAATAAACGAAAAGCAGAACGTACTTGGCGACGGACAAAGTGGACTGTTCCCCATCTTATATACCAAGAATCATCTAGATCATACAGCAACTCCTTAACACAAAGCAAGAAGGAATTCTATTCAAATAAAATTACCGAGTGTAGTCGAGACTCCAAAAAAGCTTTACTGTTTGACGAACCAGCTTATGGGATTCAAGTCCGACCCGCTTTTACCATCATCTGCAAGCGGAAAGGAATTATCGGAAAATTTTGCTGAATATATTCAAGGAAAAATACGCAATATCCGTGTATTACTATGCAAGTCAAACACCTCGAATATTGATAACAGAACCCTTTCACGCAGACATTTCATTTAATGGTCAGCAGCTTTTAACTTCGCGACCGTAACTGCAGAAGAGATTCGGAAACTCTTAATGAAAGCATCAGTAAAATCATGTGAACTTGATCCCTTACCTACACATCTACTGAAGCAGTGCATCGGGAGTTTCTTGCCGACTATCACGTCAATCATAAACAAGTCGCTGTCGGACTCTAACGTCTCCCTGGTGTCTTTAAACAGGCAATTGTTCCACCGTTGCTTAAAAAGCCAGGTTTAGATAAAGATAATTTCAAAACTTACCGTCCTGTGTCAAATATCTCCTTTATTTCAAAATTATTTGAAAAGGTTGTAGCAAAACAAATCGACGCTCATTTGGAGATGTATCAACTACACGATAATTTTCAGTCTGCGCACAGAACGGGACATTCCAAGGAAACTGCGCTTATGAAAGTTCACCATGACATCGTATGCGCACTTGACAAAAATTGCTGCGCTGTTCTTGTCATGCTCGACCTCTCCGCGGCTTTCAACGTTATAGACCACGAAATTCTATTTCAACTATAGACAATATGTTTGGTATTACCGGATCCGCGTTGAAATGGATCAAATCCTACCTCAGTGACAGAAAACAACGTGTCGCGGTTGGTTCATCGTTGTCTAAAGCCAGTTCTCTAAAATTCGGTGTCCCCAAAGGCTCGGTTTGGGGTCCGAGACTCTATTGTCTGTTCTCTAAACCCGAAACGAAATCTGCAGACGTCATAAAATGACGTACCATATATACGCCGACGACACCCAGATATACATCATCGTTGAACCAAGCGATAATTGGACCGATATGTCCCAAAGACTCTCGTGTTGTTGATCGGACATACGTAAATGGATGAGTGCCAACCTCCTCAAATTAAACGAAGACAAAACTGAACTTATCGTTTTCGCACCAAAACAAAGACTTACAAATATGAAGAGTTTTGAGTTAGAATTTGGTGATTGTGT